GGACCCAGGTAATAATTTCTTTTCTCCCATTTATTACATGGAAAAATACCCTTAAACAATAGAACCTTTGTTGATAAGGATTAACTCTGAGAACTTAGGTAATAATTTTTAAATTTTTTTATTAAAATTTTCAGGGACTCTAATACAGGTATGCACACATATATATATATATAGATATATATTTATTTTTATTTTCAAAACAAAAAGGAAGAAGATTAAGATTTTAGACGAAGATATTCTTATGCCATTTTGAATTGTCTAGATAGAGAAACGCAATGTTAAACGAAGAAGTACTTATGTTATGTTCCTTGGTGTAAGAAAGAAAGGTATGCGTTACCTATTTAGTTTTAGACTTTCTTTATAGTTTTTTTTTCACGTGATAAAGACAGAAAGAAATTATTACCTGGGTCCTCAGAGTTATTAATTAATCCTCTTTAAAAGATTGCAGGTCAAGTGAACCCTCATTTGCAAAATAAAGATATATCTTTCTCTCTCCATAACTTGTTCTTTTTCTCTGCCACCGAAAACCCAGCAGGGGTCCGGACGGAATGAATGAATGGACGGAATGAAGGAATGGACAGAATGAAGGAATGAATTCAAAGATTATTATAGTTAACTAGCTAAAAGAAACGCGCGTAAACGCGCGAGATATCTGCAATTTTTTATGAAAAATTAAAAATTTATTTTTATTTGACGGACACTTTTTGGAATTTTGATCTCACAAAAATAATAATATTATTTTTGTAATCGTTACTGTATTACTATTTCAACATTATGGTGTTATAATAATATAATACCTATTATTGCCCAGTCAATATGACCTTTAAATTTTGTACTCAAATAAAGATTATACAATGCTACGATCGTCGAATTGTCAGCAATACATTTAAATGACCCATCTCAGGATCCATGCAGGGTGAATTCCTATTTTGTATACCACAAGGCCCATGAACTTAAAATCGCTTTACAATGTTAAAAAGTTCTGGATTCTTTATTTCGTCTGTGATTTCAGCACATATCATTTTATTTAAAGTTTCTGAATCGCAAATTTGTGTACGTAAACAAATAGTTAAACGCATATGTGTCAATCCACGCTTTTTTCTTCTCTATGAAAGACGATACATATAAAATTGTAAATGAATAAAATTACAAGTACCTTGAGTATGCTTAAGGTTAACAGTCCATCCAGGATCACCATAAGGAAACATTGTAGGATATGTCATAGGATCAAAATTTTCCCTAACAATAAGACTAGAAATTATTTTCTTATTATTTTCTGTTGTGCATACTGAATTTACATCAACATGTAAATCCCTCTTCAATTTCTGTAGATAATTTCTTCATCTTACAGGACAAACTTTTTTCTTTGGGTATTTTCTTTTCATTCTCAGTTTCAGTAGACAGAACTCTGTTGTCATTTTTACTGGGAAAAGTCTTTAAAAAATATGAAAGGTTTAGTTCACCATTTTGAAATTCTTTAGCTCGATTTATGAAAAGACAATTCCAATCATTCTCTACAAATCGAAATCCTAATATTAGACATTCTAACTGACGGAAAATTATTTAATTAATTGTTTTCAAAAAATGATATCAAATGCTTGCTCATTATATTATTATCAGTTTCATAAATTAATCTTTTAATTTACACTGTTAACCAATACAGATGTTGCAAATGCTATTGCATTATACTTTACACTTAACTGTACCAATCGGTTGTTGATCAACATCTACAAAAAATTCTGTTGGTTTAAAAGGGAACAATCTAATTAAATATTCTATTTGGTGAATATTCAAACACCCTGCATTAAGGCTATCAAAAATATAAAGTCTTACTCCATCGTAATAAACACAAATCCAATGACCAGAATTGTTATTACCGCTAAAAACTATTTGAATATGTTTAACTCTTTCACTATTTGGAACAATTAAATCAAGCATTTGTAAATACAAAGTACTTTGCATAATGAAAAAAGAATTTGAATCATTTTTTGATAATTCTTGAAATTTATACATGTGCATATCATTTAACATTTCATTTACATTTTCAATAATTTTAAAATCTTCATTACTTAAAATAAAATACTCTTCTATGTTCGACATGGTATCCTTCTTCAACTTTCAAACTGTTGATAAAGCCAATTTTCAAAACAAATCGTTTATTTTAGTTTATTGCTTTAAAAAATTTACTTACATGTGTTTCACCTATAAAATATTGCATTAACTATAATTTAGCTAACTAATGCAACAATGATAGTCTTTTATGAACGTGAATTAGCGTTGTTTAATCTTTTTCCACATTACATCATTTTCGATAATGATTATTATTGAACTTATTTTCCTCTGCACTTTTTATTAATATTCAAATCAATATTCAACTCACAAACTATTATTTAACCCATAAAACAATTTTAACCCTTAAAACAATATTCAAACCTCTTTCTATCTATTTAAATACTTTTCCAAAAGCCAGCATCCTCTATTCTCAAACAGTCAATATTTTTTTTTCAATATCGAAATATATTCAATGCCAATGTTATCCAATATCATATTTTATTATCCTCAAAATCCAAATATCTTTAATGCCAAAATTACCCAATACCAAAAAATTTTTCCAAAAGACAGCTTCCACTATTATAAAACAATCAATATTTTTGTTGCATTATTAAAATATATTCAATACTAATGTTATCCAATATCTTTCTTTATCCTCAAAATCGTAATATCTTTAATGCCAATGTTATTTAATACCAAAAAAACTAAATGGATTGAAGTATTTTTTATATGAAACATTTAAGACAACCAAAAGAAACAAATATCTTCAATACCAATATCATGCCATATCCATATTTATCTTTAAAATACATATATAATTATTAATACTATACAAAAATAGGAATATATTTTTTGGGCCCAATACAAAAATGAAAAACACAAATATAATATAAGAAGATTCAACACCTGCAGTAAGTTATTGATCGACAAATTGCAGAAAAATATTATAAACTTTATAATAATCAAGTTAAGTTACCTGAGACTATTAGAATCTTTTTTTAGCAACACTACTACAATGTTGTTGAAACGGTAGTCGGTTGCTCTATGTTTATCTTACATCAGCAGTAGCCGTTTCACTCCATTGAGGAGAAGTGTTATACCCCCACTCTACCAATCTGGGCCTATATTAAGTTCTCGCGAGTGGCAGATATTACGGTAGGCCTGAGTGGCATCCTCGGGGATAGGTGTTGGTAAGTTAAGTATGAATACACCACTTCCACTCACTGGGATTAAACGGTTATCATCTATATCGCATATACAATAATAAAAAAATTTCCCTCAACCCAAGACTGTTAGGACGAATCGAGCGATCACGGATTGGGTCCTGAAAAGGGAAGTGGTATATCCTCACTCTATCGGCCTGTCCCGGGCTCAGACCTCGAGTAAGTCAATTACAGCGGGGGCCTGTATGACGTTCTCGGGCTTAATGACAATATTATTTTATGACGCTTAATGAGTTTTTCAAAAAAATTATAAAATTTTTAAATATAAACACTGTTTAATTTATTTTGACATATTCGTTTTCCTCAGAAGTTCACGATTACGATCATATATTGCTCCAATAATAACACAGGCACAAAAAAAAATTCAGGTCCCAAAAAACACAACCCCATATTCCTATGTTTTTGGGGTCGCTGAAACCGAATATGACCATTAACAATTTTTTTGACGACCCATTTTCCCGCAACCACCCCTTGCACCTACTCACGGGGGTTGGAGTTTCAAATTAAAAAAAAATTGAGTATGGTGTCTATTCCAATGTTTTTTTGGGTCGCTTCATCCCAAAAACACCATTGAAAACAAATCCTTTCTTTCCTTAACCCCGTACAACCCTCTGGGAGGGGGTTAAAATTTTAAATTTCACAAAAAGTCAAGTTGGGTGTCTAATCCTACGTTTCTAGGGGCGCTGAAATCAAAAAACACCACCAAAAACAAATTCTTTACCCCCTTAACCCGCTAGAACCCCTGGGAGGGGGTTGGGATATCATTTTTCACGGCGCTAAGTGTAGAAAAATAAATTTCCTTAAGACTTTGTAGGTGCGTATTTGTGTAATCATAGGTAACTTTCTAGAAAACTTTATTGTTGGTGATGTTTTTTGGTTTCAGCGACCCAAAAAACATAAGATTAGACACCGTACTCGACTTTTCGTGAAAAATGAAATTCCAACCCCCTCCAGGGGTTGTAGGGGGTTAAAAGGGTAAAGAATGTGTTTTTGTTGGTGTTTTTTGATTTCAGCGACCAAAAAAACATAGGAATAGATACCGTACTCGACTTTTTGTAAAAATTGAAATTCCAACCCCTTCTCATGGGGTTGTAGGGGGTTAAGGATTTGTTTTTAGTGGTATTTTTCGGATTAAGCGACCCAAAAAACATTGGAATTGACACACTACTCGATTTTTTTTTTTGAAACTCCAACCCCCGTGAGTAGGTGCAAGGGGGTGGTTGCGGGAAAATGGGTCGTCAAAAAAATTTTCATGGTCATATACGGTTTCAGCGACCCCTTTCATTACAGTATTTAAAAGGTCATCGACCATCTTATGAACCCTCAACCAAAAGCTGTTTTGACAACAAAAATTTCAGGTAGAAACCGTCGAGAACCCTAATTATCAAAGTAAAGATATATATGTATATATAATCTAATAATAATGAGAAAATTCAAGTACTAAGAAAATGTGAATGAATGACGGAATGAATACAAAGATTATTATACTATAATATTAATATATCTATATATATGAAATTTTTCTCTCCCCACTCAAGATAATCAACTGCAATCTTTCCTTTTCTAATGAATAAAGCGAGCTCATTTTCTCTCTCTCTCTCTCTCTCTCTCTCTACACCCAAAGGTAAAAGTTCTCTTTCTCTCTTAAGGAGAAAACAGCATGGGGCTGCGGACAGAATGAATGAATGAATAAAATCGAAGATTATTATTTAAAGAATTATAACATTACAATATTTCATGATATACAATATTCTTCACATATAACTTTTCAGGAAATTCTATATTTTTATATATAGCAGAATCAATAGCATGAATTTTTAGATGTTCCTTGGATTTAACTCTAGAACAACCAACATAAATTTGACCATGACCAAATGTTGAAATTGGTAAATAAATTCCTACTCTATCAAAAGATTGTCCTTGAGATTTATTAATAGTCATGGCATAAGCAAGTCTAACAGGAAATTGTCTTCTTACCATTTTGAAAGGATATGTGTCTTGAGAAGGAGATAAATCAATACGTGGAATAAAAACTATTTCACCTTTAGATTTTCCAGAAATTATTTCTGCAGAAATTACGTTTCTCAATAATGATTTTACAACTAATCGAGTCCCATTACATAATCCTTGAACTAAATTCATATTTCTCAAAAGCATAATTATACATCCTACCTTTAAAGATAATTTATGAGGAGGTAAACCATCTGGTGTCAAACTATTTAAAAATTCTATTGGAATAATATTATTTACATCTTTTGGGTCGTCATCGACATGTGAATCAACACTATAATAAACTACTTCTTGTCCTTCTAATTTTAACAAAATACGTTCATTTAGATCTAACACTTCAGAATTAGTCAATGAAAGTATGCATGATGAGTAAACAGATACATCATTTTGATTTATTGACAATCCATATATTTCATCTATTAAATTTCCGCCAGAAATCAAATCCTGTGGAATTTCTAAAACACCGTTCTCTTTTTCAAACATAGAATGAGTTTTACCGTCACCAACATTTAATAACCAATTTGAAAACTCTTCCTCTTTATTATCCAATCTAACATTAACATGTAAGGACCTAGTTTCAAAAAGATCCCACAATCTACTATTTTTCACACATACCTCAACAATGTGAGTGCGACTGCCATGCGAAATAATTGGCAAAGTTTGTCTAAAATCTCCTGAAAGCAAAATAACTTTACCGCCGAATGGTTTATTACATTGTGTTATATCTCGCAACATAGTCTCCATAGCTTGTAAAGCAAATTTAGGTGCCATCGTAATTTCATCCCAAATTATAATTTTGGCATTTTTTAAAAGTTCAGCGTGTTTTGACATGCTACTTATATTACATGTTGAATCTTCATTGATTGGAATAGGAAATTTAAAAACTGAATGTGAGGTTCGTCCACCTCTTAAAAGATTAGCTGCTATACCAGTCCAAGCAACTGCTAAAACTACTAATTCTTCACTTTCAAGAGTAGCAATAATTGTATTTTCTAAATAACTTTTACCACAACCACCAGGTGCAGAAACAAAAAAGTACCTATTTTTGCAATCATCATTATGTATTGCTGCCATGACATCATCAAAAATTTTGCGCTGATCATTGTTCAAACTTTTAATAAGTACTTCACTTTCTTCTTTGAGCAATTTTAATGATAGTTCATTAGCTTTCTTGTCGACAGAAATATAATCGTCGATAATTTTTTGATCAATATTTGGTAAACCAAATTTATTTAGAGAAAATCCATGAAAATTAAGCACTTCATTAATTAATATTAACGCTTTTTGAGTTGCTACTTCTACAGGTACATTATTATCAAAAACCATGTGTTCTTTGTACTTATTCCATAAATCAATTGCATTCACAGGCAATCCAAACACACATATATATGCAAATAGACGACAAAGTTCTTTAGGAAATTTCATGCTTACAGCTTCAGCCAAACAATTATCCCATTCACTATCATCTACTATCAAATTTCGTGCACGCACTGCTTCTACAAAAGTATTGTATGTAATACCTTCATATGTTCTTACATCTTCAAATGATTTAGCACCACGTACATAAAGTAGTAAGACTCTCAAAAAATATCTTTCAACATCTTTCGGACTTACAAAATACATGCGGCAAATTATAGGTTTGGTAATTCGTTCCCTTATTTTCCAAGTTTTTGATGATTCAACGAAAACATACTTATGTGGTATTTCTGTGTACAAATACTTGCGTGCTTCAGGATTTTCTCGATTTAATTTGAACCATGCTGTTAATGTCGTATTTTTAAATTTATTAACTGCTTCTTCTTCTAATCCTTCTTTAAAACATATTAATTGCTGATTTGGTAAATGTACAGCTAATCTATAAGTTGTATGTGATTGTTCATGCATATTGAATTCGAATAATCTGTGCATAGCTTCTGGTGGACATACATAACGTGTGTTTAAATAATTAACAATTTCATCATATTTCATTTCCTCATTATCATCCTTATAACCTATTATTGCACAGTCATGACCTTTATACATATATTTGAATAAATATTTAATGCCATCCGTACTACCACATGGTATAACACAAATATGACCTTCAAATTTTTTACTCAAATACAGATTATATGGTACGATCATCGAATTGTCAGCGGTACATTTAATTGACCCATCTTTGTTATAAAAAATGATTTTTTTACCATCATTTCTTCGCCTGAGTTCCGGATAATTCTTAGAACCATAAGTTGTTTCAGAACAAAACGGCTTTGGATAGTTTTTTGTACAAACTTTCTTCTCAGGGTCCATGCAAGGTGAATTCATATTTTCTTTTCCACAAGGCCCATGAACTTGAAATTGCTTTACAATCTTAAAAAGTTCTGGATTCTTTGTTTCATCTGGAATTTCAGCACATATCATTTTATGTAAAGTTTCTGCATCGCGAATTGGATTACGTAAAAATATAATTAAATGCACATGTGGCAATCCACGCTTTTGAAATTCTATGACATAAACAAAAGCAAGAATTGGTCCAAAAATTTCTTTTTCTTTTATATCTTTCATTATCTCTTTCACTTTTTGTTGAAAAACTCTAGTCACAATATCCGGACGATCAGATGCAATTTCAATATCCAACAAATTTTCTGTAATCTCACGCCACTTTGGATTACATGTCATGGTAATAAATAAATTTGGTTTTCCAAATTCTTGAACTAATCGCATAGCATCCATAAAACATTGTTGATAACAACGTGGCCCTCCAATAAATGTCGAAGGTAAAATAATCATTTTTCCAAGTCGAACATTTTCATTTTTTGCTTTATTACGAACATAATCCATTAATCCACAATACAATTCCGCTCGAAGTTTTTTTGTTGTAAACGAATGTATTTTAAACGTTCACCTTCTACTTTCGACCAGACATCAACTACATATTGTTGAGTTAATTTTCCTAATTGTAAACATGGATTAAAAGTTCTTCTACATGCAAGACGATACATATAAAATTGTAAAGGAGTAACATTTCGAGTACCTTGAGTATGCTTAAGGTTAACAGTCCATCTAGGATCACCATGAGGAAAAATTAAAGGATATGTCATGGGATCAACATTTTCGCTAAGACTAGATATTGGAATACTCTTTAAACCTTTTGGGTGTATACATATATCACGTTCCATAGGAGGTTCACCATCTTCGCTAACAAATACAAGTGCTACTTCACTACAAGATGGAACATTAAATTTGCTTTGATTCAATGATCTATCTCGTTTAATCCACATTTGAATATTCCTTATAGGCTCATTTTTAGATTTTGCTAGTGCTTCTTCTTCTAATTCTACCTCTCTCATCATTTTAAAAGCTTTAGCATAAGGATTAATTTCCCTTAATAATTTATCTATTTCTTCCATTAATGATGATAAACATTTCTTATTAGATTTATTCTTTAATCGTTCAAGTACTGCTTCATTAGTGTCAATAATGTACAACTGACCATATTTTCGATTGTCATCACCATCGGGATGAAGGGCATATGTATTATGATACACTTGTCCATGTACACGATAAATATAAGGCCCATTTCCTTTAGGAATTTCTAATTTTGCTCCTATGCTGGCGAATGCTAAGGAATTATTATAAGAACGAATATTTTCTTTATAATTTTTACCTTCAAAGCTTGAATCAAATAACAAAGTTTTTAAATAAAGCGGATAAGGATTTAATACTTTCAACTTTACTTTTCCTTTGTGACAGCAACTATTAAATAATCTATCTGACGGCCTTTCACACAAAAAATGTAACGCACTACAAAACTTACATTCTACATTCATCAAACCTAAATAATTCTGTGAAACTTTACTTTCATCGAAATCTTCAAAGGACATAATTGCTACTCCTACAGTGTCTAACTTTTTTTCATTTTTCTTATCGTTTTTACATGCCAAATTCTTTTTTTGACGCACTTTCTTTTCATCCTCAGTTTCTGTATCTAATTTCTTCCTCTTACGTAACAAATCTTTTTCTTTGTGCACTTCCTTTTCATCCTCAGTTTCTTTAGATAATTTCTTCCTCTTATATGCCACATTTCTTTCTTTGCGTATTTTCTTTTCATCCTCAGTTTCTGTAGCTAATTTCTTCCTCCTACATGCCGCATTTTTTTCTTTGCGTATTTTCTTTTCATCTTCATTTTCTGTAGATAATTTTTTTCTCTTATATGCCAAATTTCTTTCTTTTCGTATTTTCTTTTCATCCTCCATTTCTATTGAAAGTTTCTTCTTTTTGCATGTCAAATCTCTTTTTTGGAGTTCAATTTTTGGAATTTCTGTTTCATTACGATTATCTTTTGTCAGTCTATTATGCTCTTCTATAATTATTTTCTGCTCATCATATTTTCTTGCACAAAGTATTTTCTTATCATTTTCTTCACTTAGGAAATGCTTCATTTCTAAATATTTACGTGGTGAAACTTTATTTACATTATTATTAGTTGCACCAATTCTTTTCTTTTCACTTGCGTCATTCAAAGAACGTTTAATTTCTAATTGTTGTGTTGATATAACTCTATTTGCATTATTATTTATAAAACTGTTATAAAAATATGAAGGGTTTAATCCAGCAGTTTGAAGTTTTTCAGCTCGATTTATTAAAAGACAATTCCAATCATCCTCTACAATTGAATTTCTAATAATTGACGATCTCACTGAGGGGAAAGGATTCAACCGATTATTTTCAAAAATTAATTTCAAATGTTTTCTCATTCTATCATTATCAGTTTCATAAATTACACTGTTTGGCATTATGTTGAAAAATACAGATGTTGCAAATGCTATTGCATATACTCCACACTCAACACTTCCAACCGGTTGTTGATCAACAGCTACAAAAACTACTGTTGGTTTAAAAGGGAACAATCTAATTAAATATTCTATTTGATGAATATTCAAACACCCTGCATTAAGACTATCAAAAATATAAAGTTTTACTCCATCGTAATAAACACAAATCCAATGACCAGAATTGTTATTACCGCTAAAAACTATTTGAATATGTTTATCTCCTTCTCTAATTGGAACAATTAAATCAAGCAATTGTAAATACAAAGTACTTTGCATAATGAAAAAAGAATTTGAATCATTTTTTAATAATTCTTGAAATTTATACATATGCATATCATTTAACATTTCATTTACATTTTCAATAATCTTAAAATCTTCATTACTTAAAGTAAAATACTCTTTTATGTTTGACATGGTATCCTCCTTCAACTTTTAAACTACCGATAAAGTCACTTTTCAAAACAAATCTTTTATTTTAGTTTCTGGCTTTAAAAAATGTACTTACATGTGTTTCACCTATAAAATATTTCATTAACTATTATTCAGCTAACAAATGCAACAATGATAGGCTTATATGAATGTGAATTAGCGTTGTTAAATCTTTATCCACATTACATCATTTTCTATAATGATTATTATTTTACTTATTTTCCTCTGCTCTTTTTATTACTATTCAAATCAATATTCAACTCACAAACTATTATTTCACCCATAAAACCACTTCAACCCTTAAAACAATATTCAACCCTCTTTCTTTCTATTTCAATATTTTTCCAAAAGCCAGCATCCACTATTATCAAACAGTCAATATTTTTTTCCAATATCGAAATATATTCAATACTAATGTTATCTTATATCATATTTTATTATCCTCAAAATCCAAATATCTTTAATGCCAAAATTATCCAATACCAAAAAATTTTTCCAAAAACCAACTTCCACTATGGTCAAATAATCAATATTTTTTTTCCAATATCAAAATATTTTTCTTTAATACCACAATATTTTCAATACCAATGTTATCCAATATCTTTCTTTATCCTCAAAATCGTAATATCTTTAATGCCAAAATTATACAATACCAAAAAATTTTTCCAAAATCCAGCTTCCACTATTATCAAACAATCAATATTTTTGTTCCATTATTAAAATATATTCATTAATAATGTTATCCAATATCTTTCTTTATCCTCAAATTCGTAATATCTTTAATGCCAATGTTATCCAATACCAAAAAAAAATGGATTAAAGTATTTTTTATATGAAATTTTCGATAATGATTATTATTTAACTTATTTTCCTCTGCTCTTTTTATTAATATTCAAATCAATATTCAACTCACAAACTATTATTTAACCCTTAAAACAATATTCAACCCTCTTTCTTTCTATTTAAATACTTTTCCAAAAGCCAGCATCCACTATTATCAATCAGTCAATATTTTTTTCCAATATCGAAATATATTCAATACTAATGTTATCTTATATCATATTTTATTATCCTCAAAATCCAAATATCTTTAATGCCAAAATTATCCAATACCAAAAAATTTTACCAAAAACCAACTTCCATTATGGTCAAATAAGCAATACTTTTTTTTCCAATATCAAAATATCTTTCATACCAATGTCATCCAATATCTTTCTTTATCCTCAAATTCGTAATATCTTTAATGCCAATGTTATCCAATACCAAAATAAATTAATGGATTGAAGTATTTTCTATATGAAACATTTAAGACAACCAAAAGAAACAAATATCAAACAGTCAATATTTTTTTAAATAATAATAATGTAATATAATTTAAGAAGATTAAACACATGCACTAAGTTATAATATAATATCTATATAATAATCAAGTTCAGTTACCTGAGACTATTAGAAGCTTTTTTTTAGCGACACTACTGCAATGTTGTTGCAACGGTAGACGGTTGCTCTATGTTTATCTTACATCAGCAGTAGCCGTTTCACTCCATTGAGGAGAAGTGTTATACCCCACTCTACCAATCTGGGCCTATATTAAGTTCTCGCGAGTGGCAGATATTACGGTAGGCCTGAGTGGCGTCCTCGGGGATAGGTGTTGGTAAGTTAAGTATGAATACACCACTTCCACTCACGGGGATTAAACGGTTATCATCTATATCGCATATACAATAATAAAAAAAATTCCCTCAACCCAAGACTGTTAGGACGAATCGAGCGATCACGGATTGGGTCCTGAAAAGGGAAGTGGTATATCCTCACTCTATCGGCCTGTCCCGGGCTCATACCTCGAGTAAGTCAATTACAGCGTGGGCCTGTATGACGTTCTCGGGCTTAATGACAATATTATTTTATGACGCTTAATGAGTTTTTCAAAAAAAAACACAACCCCATATTCCTATGTTTTTGGGGTCGCTGAAACCGAATATGACCATGAACAATTTTTTTGACGACCCATTTTCCCGCAACCACCCCTTGCACCTACTCACGGGGGTTGGAGTTTCAAATTAAAAAAAAATTGAGTATGGTGTCTATTCCAATGTTTTTTGGGTCGCTTCATCCCAAAAACACCATTGAAAACAAATCCTTTCTTTCCTTAACCCCGTACAACCCTCTGGGAGGGGGTTAAAATTTTAAATTTCACAAAAAGTCAAGTTCGGTGTCTAATCCTACGTTTCTTGGGGCGCTGAAATCAAAAAACACCACCAAAAACAAATTCTTGACCCCCTTAACCAGCTAGAACCCCTGGGAGGGGGTTGGAATATCATTTTTCACGGTGCTAAGTGTAGAAAAATAAATTTCCTTAAGACATTGTAGGTGCGTATTTGTGTAATCATAGGTAACTTTCTAGAAAACTTTATTGTTGGTGATGTTTTTTGGTTTCAGCGACCCAAAAAACATAAGATTAGACACCGTACTCGACTTTTCGTGAAAAATGAAATTCCAACCCCCTCCAGGGGTTGTAGGGGGTTA